GGTAAGCATTGGCCGTCAGGACCGTTACGCCGTGTGCCTCGCTAAGCTCTGGCCCAGGGCATCCATACGGTTTGGCCTCAAATACTCGGACCTCTCCGCCAGTGCCTTCGTAGCACGGCACCATACGATGTGGACTTCGTGGCCGATGGAGCGCCCGATGGGTAGACGAATGCGCATCTCTCTGCGGCGTTTCTCGAGCTGGACCGATCTGCGAAAGCGCCCAGGGCGCAGGAACCCGCCACGCCCAGTTCGAGAGGCTTCCGGCCCGCGAGCATCCAGCGCCCGCCATGGCGCTCGCCTTCGTGCAGGCGGCCGCGCCGGCGGCCGCGCCGCCAGCGGCGGCCATGGGAGGGGAAACCACCTTGCCGCCCCCTCCACAGCTGGCGTATGCTGGACACTCCTCGGCGGGTATGTAGCAGTTCTGCTTTGTTCGGTTCCCCTCCCACCTTTTTTTGTTCCCTCGCTCTCTCTCTCTCTCTCTCTCTCTCCCGAAAAGCAATCGCACTCCCCTGCGACGAACGATGGTGACACTGAGGTGCACCAAGCAACCTGGAGACACGCAGGGACCGACCTGCCATCGGCGAGGCTGGACGCGACACAACCTTGACCAGTGCAGCAGAGCGGAGCGAGGCTATGACCGAGGACGAGGCCGAGGATGAGGAGGGAGACTGGCGGATCGGGCTCGGCCACCGCAGGTCAGAGACGGAAGCGATCCGCATCGGATCGGATCGGATCGACAGCGGAGCTGGCCCAGACGCATCGCATCGGATCGGATCGGATCGCACGCATCGTATCGGCGAACGCTTCGTCGGATTGGATGGCCCAGGCGCATCGCATCGGCGAACGCCACATCGGATCGGATGGAATTGGTCCGCATCGCATCGGGTCGGATCGGATCGGGGAGTGGTCCAGACTGGACTTGGCCGTGAGCAGCCCTGCCGACGGCAGGCTCGTGCGTGGATCGCTGCGATGGCCTGGAGCGCTCGCGGCTCTGCGGTGGCGTGGATCGTCGCCGCTCGGCGGAGGCCGCGAGGGGGCAGCGTGGCTCCCCACCAGCGACTGCCACCCACGCCGCACACCCCCTGCCTGCGGGGGCGGCACGGCGGGCGGCCACTCGGCCTCGACAGGGCTGCACTCCCGGCCCGTGGCCCGCGCGAGGGCCTCGCCCTCCAGGGCTCTCTGAGGGCGGCCCCTCCGCCCACCGCCCACCAGACCTCCCCGACCCCAAGCCCGAAGGCCCCAACCTTGCCCTTCACTCCCAGTGGGGGGTGCGCCGGGGAGCATTGAACAAAAACGCATGTGGAGCCCGTCCCCCCCCCCCCCGACCCAGAAATTTGAGGTCATTGGGTTGGGCTGGGTTTGTCTGGTGGGCAGTCCTCTGCCCAGGTGGGCGCCGCGGCCGGCCGGCACGCGCTGCGCGGCGCGGCGGCGCAGCCCGCGGAGGCCGCGGGCCCGCGCGCGGGCGGCCTCGCGGCCGGCGCTGGGCTCGCCGTGGGCGCGGCGTCGCTGCGGCGGGCCGCCCGGCGCGGGCGGGCGGCGCGCCGGCAGGCGTGGGGGGGGCGCGGGCCGTGTGCGCCCGCACTGGGCCTTTGGGTCGGGCGTGTCCTCCTGCAGGCGGATCTTGGAAGAACTGGTAGGCAGGAGTCCAAGAATCAGCAGCAATAGTCAGGAGAGCACGAGAAATCGTCGCCAGGCTATGCTTTTTTACCATTCTCGAGTATCCCTCCTGTAGAGGGACATGCCCGACTTGAGGCTGGGCCTGGGGTCGGTGCGCACGCCCTCACTCTAGGGGAAGAAGCACGGGGACCACGACCAAGATGTCGCGGGATCGTGTCGATGCCGTTCGTGGTCATGTTCCATGCGGGCCGTTGCCGCTTCGCGAGAGTGATTCACGCATTGACGCGCTGATCAGGATCGACGGTGACCAGGATCGACACTACGTTTCTGCGTTCATTCTTGGTCATGGTCCTCGTTTTTGCCCCCTCCACTCGTGGAGCCTGGCCAGCAGTCGGCCACGCGCAGAGAGCAGGGGGGAGGGGGGGAAGGCATCTCAGAAGCACCCCTGCCTCTTAGAAGGGGCGAGCCCTTCCTATAGATGCAGGGCCGGCGCCTTCTAAAAAGCAGTCTCCTTCCCAGAAGCCTTCCCCCCTCCCCCCACCCCCCTGTGCGCGCCGTCAACAGTGGGCGCCCGAATTATCCGGGGTAACTCGGGCCCGGGGTAACTCGGGTTAGGATTCCCGAAAAACGAACCCGAGTTAGCCCTGACCCGAGTTACCCCTGATGATTTGGGGCTCTGGACGCCCGAATTATCCGGGGTAACTCGGGCCCGGGGCAACTCGGGTTCGGATTCCCGAAAAACGAACCCGAGTTAGCCCTGACCCGAGTTACCCCTGATGATTCGGGGCTCGGAGATGCATACTGAGCCTGGGCCAAGGATCTGCCTGGCCGTGTGACGGTGTCCGCTGGCGGCCGACGTGCACCGTGCCGCGGTGGCGCCTCCCGAGGCGTCGCGTCGGTGTGCGCCCGAGGAGTGGCGCGGTGCACAGTTTTCCAGAGCCCGCAGAGCCGAAGAGCTATGCTCAGGAGAGGACACAACACACAGACACAATTATAATCGTCGATTCCCCCAGAAAATATGGGAAAATATGGCAAGTGGGGGGGAAGACAAAAACCCAGAAAATATGGGAAAATATGGGGAATATTTTTATTTGTGTGTATTTCTTTGTGTGTCCTGGGGCCCCTTCATATGCACCGTACCGCGTCGGAGCGAGGCCTGCCGGGAGTTCCAGCGTCGTGCGCTGCATGAGCGCCGTTCTCGTGCGGTGCACCCGTGCAGACCGCGCCCCCCCGGCCAGGCGCCCGCGACCGCGGTGGCCGCGCCCGTGCAGGCTGCCGGTGCGCAAATGGGGGTCCCTCCAGACCCAGGCTTCGACGTCTTGAGCGGAGTCAGCGCGGAGGTTTTGGTCGTTTTCGGCCTTCGGGGGCCCTCGCCGGGCCCCAGGAATCCAACACCAGCTCAGAACGAGAAGCGGGCCCCGAAGAACGAGTCAGGACTGTTTGTAGGGTCCCGTATGGAAGAGAGCAAGACGTCGGATGTTTTGTCGATCTGAGCGCCGCCTCGCGGATCGATCTTGCTCGAGAGATGAAGCCTGATGGAAGGGTCGAGGGCTCTGGTCCTTCTTGTTTTGACTTGATGTTCATGTTGTTTGTTTGTTTGTTTGTTTGTTTGTTTGTTTGTTTGTTTGGTTCTGTTTGTTTTTGTTTATTTTTTATGTTTTTGTTTGTTAGTGTGTGTGTGTGTGTCGGCTTTTCAGTTTTTTCGCGATGTCGGATCTCAGAGGTGGAGTGAGGGGAGAGGGCGTCGTCGTCGTGCTGTCGTTTTGGAGGTTTTTTTGGGGCGGTTCTGGAGGCTCGTCGCCACGGCCGGGCCTGGCTCGGGCGACTAGAGTCTAATCATACTCGCTTAACTGTAAGTTACGGGCTGCCCTTCTCCAGCACGGCCTAGCGAGGCCGTTAGGGTGGCCGCGCATCTGGCTGGCCTGCCCGGGAAGTTTTGCGGGATCCATTGGGCCGCGCTGACCCCGATGAGCGTCGACCATCGACGACCTCGATCCTCGATTCGCCCTCTTTCCTCCTCTTCGACGATCCTCGATCTTCGACCTTCGATGACTTTCGACCGTCGAGTCTATGGGGCCTCGTCGACCTCGACGAGGCCCGACCTGCGACGATCCTCGACCCTCGATTCCCTCCCCTTCCTCCTCTCCGATCATGGATCCTCCCGACAGGCACTCCGCCTGTCAGATGTCCTCCCGCCCTCCACATCTGCACGGGCCGCCGCTCCCCCATGGCAAGCACGCCATCCTCTCACGGGCCCGCTTTTACCCCCCCTGGCGATAACGGCCGTTGCCGGGGGGGACGGGGGGGCGTGGAGGGCCGTTGAGTCACGATTCGCGCTGGCGTCGTCTGAGAGCTTGCCGCCTCTAGCAATTCCGGACGGCGCCAGCGCGAACCGTGACGTCACCAGGTGGGGGGGGGCGGAAGCGGGAACATCCCCGGTAACGGCCTTTATCGCGCATCGTAAAGCACGCGCTCCAGATGGCCTTTTTCCCCTCCTGTGAGAGCCAACGAACAGGCGAGGGAGGACAGGAAGGACATCGGCAGCAACCTGCCCGACTGCCCCAAGACAATCTGGAATGCGGACGACATCGACCTCACAAAGTTGCAGAAGCCCGCGGACTCGTGCCCGCTGCTGTGGGACGCGAACGAGGTGAGGAAGGACCTCGAGGGAAAGAGCGAGAGGGAGTATTTCGCCGAGCAGAAGGATAAGATCCTTGAGCAGCTCCAGAAGCACGGCGCCATCTGGTTCCGGAACTTCGAGTCGACGAAGGACGCCGCGGGTTTCCGCGAGTTCTTCGAGCAGCTGGAGGACCTTTTTTCGCCAGCCTCGTCTTTCTTCGTCATGGAAAAATCGAGCCCGAGGTTTTTTTCCATTTGAGATTTTGGGTGCCTGTTTCGGGCCCCATGGCATTCAAGAACTGGTCTGGACGAAAGAGCGTTCCTCACTGCAGGAATGGGGCCGAGAACTCCAGAGGCCGGCGCCACGAAACACTCGAGGCATCGGAAGTCCGGAGACCATCCTCCCTCCCCCTTCCTGCTTCCTCCCTGCTCTCTGCTCCCTCCTCCCTCCTCTCCGCTCTCTCCTCCCTCATGCCCCCTCGCTCCTGAGGCCCGAGCCGTAGCCGCAGCCGTGTTGTCCCCCTTCGGCACACACTCTGGTCGGCTTGGGCCCACGCGCGACGTCCGCATCTGGCAAGACCTTCGCACCATGCGTGGCTGGCGGCAACCTCATCTGCCGCCGCCGCCGCGGCCGCCGCCGCCAACCCTGCCGCCGCTGCACGCTCGGGTCCTGCGTGCTCAGCGGGTGTGGAGTCGCCCGCTGGGGCCGCGGGGCTGCTCGCGCCACCACCTTTACCGCTCGTTGGTGCTCCACCGCCGCCCTCGCCTCCTCCCGGCGTAGAGCAACAAGCAGGAAGCCCTTTGGCCAGAGCCGCCGCCTCCGCCAGGGCCGCCAGGGCCGCCAGGGGCGCCAGGGCCGCCGCTTGCTGGGACGCTCCTCTTCGGATTGCCCGCCCCTGGGTCCATCACCAGGGCTGCCGCTGGTCGGGCCGGTCAACCTGGGGCCGCCACCAGGGCCACCGCCCAAAGGTCCCACGGTCGAGCCGCCACCAGGCCAGCGAGGCGCCGCCTGCTCCCTGGAAGTCGCCGTCGGTAGCGATTCCGACTTGGCTGTGCGCAGAAGTGCCTGCCTGTCCTCGCCGCCTCAATCGCTGATCTCGCAAGCTCTTTTTGATGCAGACGCTGTTCAGAACGCGCAGTGCGATCGCGCTTGGAAAACTGCCCGCGCAGCGAAACCTGCCCTGCCGCCATCCGATACAGTGTCCCGTTTCGTTGATAGGTCAGCTTGGCATTTTTGTAGCTTTTCTACCCTTGCTTCGATGGGATGCTCCCGCGCTCACTCTCATGTCTCTTCCCGCGTTGTCGGGAAGAAGTCAGTGAACAGACCTCGCGACGGCTTTGCAGCTGAGCGCTCTGCAGCTCCTGCGCCTGCCCCCGTCGATGAAGGCCCATCTGGCGAAATAAATGCCCCCCCCCAGCGTACCTCGTGCCGGGAGGTCCCCATGCCTGCCCCAGGGGGTCGCCCCCCATTCCCGCTCAAGGCCCCTCCCCCGCAGACAACGGCGACGCCACGGGGGAAGACGCCGCTTTGGTTGTTGATGATGATGATGATGATGATGATGATGATGATGATGATGATGATGATGATGATGATGATGATGATGTTGATGTTGATGATGATGATGATGATGATGTTGATGATGATGATGATGATGATGATGATGATGATGATGATGATGATGATGATCAGCGCGCCCAGCGAATCTGCGTCCCCCTGCGCAGGGAGCGCGCGCGGGCGGTGCTGCGGCGCCCCCAGGCGCAGTGCGGAGGGCCCCGCGCCTGGCCGCGGCCACGGCCGCCTCCGCGGCGGACGCCGTGTGCAGCGTCCCCGGCGTTGCCTGGCGCCCCCCGCCTACGGCTCCTCACGCGCCGGCAGTTCCTTCATCGGGGGGGCGGGATCCCGCAGAGGGCAGTGCACACGAATGCCTAAGACATGACGCATCATTCTACATCCGACGGTTCCGTATCGGCATACGGCCACTTTGGACTGTACGTGTGCGTGTGAGTACAGGTATCCGTACATATGAGTATACGCTAGGCGTTTCTGCATTTTATGATTGCAAGTACATTTTGTACGTACACGAATGTACATCGTCGTTTGTATGTGCCATGTATGCGCCTATGCGCATGCACATCCACATCGCATACATGTACACATGCACACGCATGTTCATATCGGCACTTTCACACATGATTCATCTTACACAAATATATACATATATATATATATAGATATGTATGTATACATCTCGACTTTCTGATCGGTGCCGTAACCATTGTTTTTTTTCGGTTCGGTATATGATCGGGTTGGGACGGCTGTGGCGCGCAGTCGTCTGTGAGTTTCGAGGTCAGCTATTGGGGGCCTGTCAGGAGGCTTCTTGGGGCCTCTCGGGGGCCTTCGGGGGCCTCTTTTGGGCCTCTTTCGGGCCTCTTGGAGGCTCTTGGGGGCTTCTTGGGGGCCTGCTGGCGGTCTCGGGGGCTCTGTTTGGGGGCGGAATGCTCCAAATCTCAATTCGAGTTGCTGGCGGTCTTGGGGGCCCTTTTAGGGCGGAGTGCTCAAAATCCCAATTCGAGTTCAGGGCTCTCTTAAGGTCCTCTTGGGCCGTCTGCCGTCTCTGGATCATCTTGGGCCGTCTTGGGATGATCTGGGTGGCTTCTTGGACTGTCTTGGACGCAGTGAAGGAGACTATAATCGCATATGGAACAAACGTATGGTTTCAATGAAATGGACGGTTCCTGCCTCTTGGAGCTCTCTTGGGAGGGCTGTCGGAGGCCTCCTAGGGCGTCGGAGGCTTCTTGGGCCGTCGGGAGTCCATCTGGAGCGTCTTAGACCGATCGCTCGGCGGCTCGGGGCCCTACTTGGACCGTCCGAGTCCCCTCTTGAGGCCCTCCTAGACCACTCTAGGGCTGTCTTGGGGCCCTGCAGAGGCGCTCCAGACACAGCCCCGCCAGTGCAATCATGTATTGCTGCTGCTGCTGCTGCTACTACTACTACTACTGCTGCTACTACTACTACTACTACTACTAATACTACTACTACTACTACTACTTCCACTACCACCACCACCACCACCACCACCACCACCACCACCACCACCACCACCACCACCACCACCACCACCACCACCACCACCACCACCACCACCACTACCACACCACCAACACCACACCACCACCACCACCACCACCACCACCACCACCACCACCACCACCACCACCACCACCACCACCACCACCACCACCACCACCACCACCACCACCACCACCACCACCACCACCACCACCACCACCACCACCACCACCACCACCACCACCACCACCACCACTGCTGCTGCTGCTGCTGCTGCTGCTGCTACTACTACTACTACTACTGCTGCTACTACTACTACTGCTGCTGCTGCTGCTACTGCTACTACTACAACTACTACTTGTACTAGTAATCGTAGTATTACTACTACTTTTACTCCTTCTCCTCCTCCTCCTCCTCCTACTACTACTACTACTACTACTACTATTACGACTACGACTACGACTACTACTACTAACACTACCGTTACCACTGCAATTATTTCTACTACTATTACCACTACTACTGCTGCTACTCTCAATATTACTACTACTACCACCACCGATACTACTACCAGTACTACTACCACTACTACTATCACTACTACTGCTACTTTTCCTACTACTACGACTACGACTACGACTACGACTACGACTACTGCTACTACTACTACTACTACTACTATTACTGCTGCTGCTGCTACTACTACTAACCACTACTACTACTACTACTACTACTACTACTACTACTATTACTGCTACTTTTACTACCACTACTACTACCACTACTACTACTACTACTACTACTACTACTACTTCTACTACTTCTACTACTACTACTACTACTACTACGACAACAACAACAACTACTACTACTACTATCACTACCACTACTACTACAACAACGACTACTACTCATACTTCTACTACTCGTACTACTTCCACTACTACTACTACTGCTACTACTACTACTGCTACTACTGCTACAGATGTGAAATCTATTACGTCTACGACAACTACCAGGACCACTACTATTACAATAACTAGTACTAGTACTACTATTACGGCGACGACGTACTACTACTACTACTACTACTACTACTACTACTATTACTACTACTACTACTACTACTACTACTACTACTACTACTACTACTACTACTACTACGACTACGACTAAGAGTATTTTTAGTAGTCGTACTCCTATCATAGCTATTCTTAGTATTACTATTACTGGCAAAACTGCTATTCACGTGGGTACGAGTGCTATTACTGCTACTACTTTTACTACTACTACTACCACTACTATGATTACTCCAATTTAACAAGTAATATGAATAATAATACTAAATGGAATAGTAATGGTAATACTTTCACATAGTGTTAACCATACCATATCATTCTTTTAGTTATAACGTTAGTATTGCCAACACTTATAATGATGATTCTGCTACCAATAATCATGATACTACTCGTGATCATGATGCTATTATGTTAAACATGTGTTATAGTAATCACAAGAATCAGGATCCTATTCTCTAGATGAGTAGTATTCATAGTCTCGCCAGTAATCATCCTCAGAATAAGAAGGGTAGTCGTACTAGTCATGATTCGTTGTTCATAGCAATCATATTTTTGGCATGAATAATGTTACGCCTCGTACTGTATATGCATGTGTACACAAAAAGAGGGCATGCCGCGCCCTGGCTTTCGGTGCCGTGTGTTTTGGGGATCGGCCTCCCCTCTCTTCTCCCTCCCCACTGCCCCTGCCACCGCAAACCTCTCCCCTTCCCCCCCCGCTGTTGCATGGCGCTTTTGCGCATCCTGGCGCAGCCTCTCCGATTCGATGCCGACTCCGAGTCGACCCGGTCCGATCCGACAAAACTCTCGCTTCGGTCTGATCTCCCGAGTCGATGCTGCCTAATCCTGTCCCCTCCCCCCAGCTGAACCCGTGCCTGGACCCGATCCACACCTCGGGCCTGAGGGCGATGAAGGAGAAGAAGGACGCGGTGTACGAGGCCGGGCCGCGCCCGCCCTGCGCGGGCGCGTCTGCCTTCGGATGGCTTCGGTGCCTTGCCGCTTTGGCTCGGAGACACTCGCACGGTTCCTGGCAGGTTGTCGGCGTCCGTTGGCGCGGTTTTCGGCACTTTGCCCTGCGGTCTTCGGCGGCTTTCAGTGGTTCGCCGAGTGCGCTGGGAGGTTTTCCGATGATGTCGGAGAGTTCCGGAGGTTCCTGGGGGCTCTCGACGGGGCGTCGAAAGTGTTCGAAGGTATTCGGAGATTTTCGACGGCCACTGGAGAGATGAGCTGATGATGGCTTCTGGTGAATCTCTCCGCAGCAGAAAGGACGCCAACTACACCGACGCCGACCCTGGCCAGGCCAGGTGAGTGTACGCCTCTTCAGGACCTCCGACGGGATGACTTTGTCAATGCGCGGGCCCCAGAAGTCTGGACCCCTTCTCTGAAATCCTTCTTTCGTCCCGGGTAAGGGCTGACTGGCCAGCGGAGGACCGAGCCCCCGGGTGCGTCCCTCGCGGTGTCAGCGAACGGCCCGGTGGTCCGGAGGCGTAGCGTCCAGCAAAGACAAAAGATTGGGGCGACAGAGGCGCTGGGAGGAGCCTGCTGAGGCTCGGCGTTACCCCAGCATTCCAATGCTATGTGCGCGTCGCCCCCCCCAGGGGCGACGCGAGCGCCGAGAACTCTTTTAGTACAGCCTCAGTGGCGGGCGTTTTCTGCCGTACCGCTCGGGGAACGATCCAAGACAAGATGGCTGTATTATGTGTTGGGGTCGGACGCACGCCTCCAAGGAGGACATGTAGTACTAGTATGTCCTCGTGCATCCCAGAGGCCGTCAACAAGCCCGCGCTGGCGGGCCACATCGTCGGCCTGCACAACGAGTCCACCACGGTCAAGACCGCCAAGTTCGGCTGCTTCGGCTGCTTCCAGCCCGCCACGGAGGGCGGCGGTGACCCTCGGGGAGAAGGAATAGCCAAGACGAGCTAGTCGGTTGCACAACATGGCATAGCACAGCAATGCAGAGCATATCTCATCGAGGATACAAGAAACCTTAGCCCGAAGAACATAGTGAAGACGTGGCCTCACTTAGGTCCTTGTCGTTGTGCATTAAGAATGATGAATCTTTGCGGTCTGCATTGATACAATTGCAGGGCAGGACAGGCCCCCTTATCTCTAATTGTTGAGGCCCTCCTAACTCAAGTCCCCTCCCAAATGGTTAAGGTTTTTTTTTTTCATTTGTAATCAATATCGTAGCCCAGCGCAGCACAGCACGTAGCATGGCATGCCATTAGCATTCGCATCATTCACATCATTTCTACAATTATTATCATTGTTAGTGTCGTTATTATTCTTACTGTTCTAATTCTTATTACCTCAAGCATTCGCATCAGCATCAGCAGTAACACCTGCGTTTGCGTTTGCAGTAATAGTGCCACTAGCGCTTGCATTAGCACTAGCAGAATCTAGTGGCCTTCGGCCTATCCTGCTACCGTACCTGGGCCGCGGACGAGACGAGAGGCTTCTTAAAGGCCTCCTGGGATATCTCGGAAAGGCCTCTTGGGATGCCTCTTTGGGGCTTGGGGGCCTCTTAGGTCTGTCTTGGGGTTCCGTGGAGGGCTCTTGGAGGCCTCTTGGTGTTTTGCTGGTGGTCTCGGGGGCCATTTTTGGGAGAAACGCCTTGAATGCCAGTTCGGGTTCCTCCTCTTGGGCCCCTTTTGGACTCCTCTTAGGGACCTCTGGGGGCCTCTTGATGCCTTTTGGGAGCCTTCTGGGCCATCTATGGGCCGTCTTGGGTAGTCTTGGGGCCCGCTTGGGAGCCCGTCGGGTCGTCTTGAGACGATGTTGGGGGCCTCCTCGGCCGTCTTGGAGCGTTGGAAGCCCGAGCAGGCGAGAGCGTTGACATCAGTCAATGCTGTAAGGAATCAGTGATTTTGGTGTCCTGAGGGGGTCCTCTTGCGGCTGTCTCGGGGTGTCTTGGGAATCGCTTGGGCCGTCGTCAGTCCGTTTTGGGCGTCTTGGACCGCTTTTGGACCGTCTCGGGACCCTCTTGGACCGTCTTGGGCGCCTTTGCGGCCCTCTTTGCCCTCTTGCGGCCCTCTTGTGTCCCTCGTGCGGCCCTCTGGTACCCCGGCGCGTTTTTGCAAGGCACAATTTCCAGGATCGAGGGCTCATGAGGGCCGCGTAAAATTCCATTTCGTGCCTCGGGACACGGTGGCGGATCATTCGGACTAGTAATGCGGTCGGCCCGAGGTATAAGGTCGAGGTCGTTTCGGGAAGGGTACCCTAGTGTTCTTCGTGTTTGTTTGATGCTCTTGTGCATCCTGTGGCAGGGCATTTTGACCGGCGGAGGGTCTCATGTTCTTGCATGATGTTCTTCTGTCCTGGGTCTGGCTGTATCATTTGTATTTTCCCAATTGGGCTTGCCCGAGGGGTTCATATTCGTTTTTGAAGATTGGGTTGGTGCCAGGTCTGCACTTGTCGGCCGTGCCAAGTTTCCCTGGTATTGGTTTTGGTTTCCCAGCAGTGCCAAGCCGTTTTTTCGGTTCCCTGGTCTTGGCAGGCAGAGCAAGCACAACAGAGCAGTACCAAGTAATGCCAAGCAGTGCGACACAATGGCAAGCAGTGCCAACCAGTGCTACGCACGCTTAGTTAAGTACTTGGGTAGCTTTCGACTAATTGGGGTCGCGCCGAGTTCATTTCATAGCGTAGCGTAGCCATCCCTGACTGATAATAGGAGAGTGTAGCATTGCATCGTACAGCATACCATGCCATACCATGAGTAAACTGAGACACTGCATAACAGCGCTGGAACGCTATCGTTTCATGCCTCATCATTTCCTTGCAGTTTCAAGTCAGAGCGTATAATACGATATTTAACAACACAATTCACGTTACCAGTCGCACTAGTATTGCATCTGTTGCGTCGCTTGTGCTCGCATTTCGGTTCTCACAGTATCGCACGGTATGTAACCGCGTATCATACCATGTGGTAGCATAGCCTGGCGAAGCCCAGCGAGTATCGACGCCTTGGTCGCGATCAACTGGCCTGATCACAGAGCCGAGACAGCGCTTCTTTTCAGAAAGTATGTCGCCTCCCTTAAGTAGGCAAGCCTAATTGGGCACGAATCACGAGGGTTGACGAGGAGGAGAGGAATCAGTGTGGGCAAGAACTTGCAGGGTGG